CAGGCCATAGATTTTTCTCTGATGATCAAACAAAGCACATTTTTTTAAAACAAAAGCACTTAAAAACACACCACGTAGAGACAAGCTACCATGCTTCTTTACGAAGCACTGTGTTCCTTAAAATTCTGTGGTTAATTATGAGTTCTGGAGCCAGAGAGTTGGGTTCCAAACCCAGTTCTGCCTACTTACTAATTAAAGTATGATTTTAAGTGACATCCTCTCTGAGCCTCAGTTTACTTCTCTGTAAGATGGGAATAATAATACCACCCTTGTAAGGCTGTTCTGAGGACTAAATAAGGTAATAAGATAATGCACATAGCATGCTTGGCACAGTGCCTGGCACAGGGGAAGCCATCAGCAAACAGGGAAGTTATTAATGTTTTCATTTCACAGAACTGAATGGGAAAGCAGTTAATGATCATCTGGTTGTCAGACAATCAATATGGCTGAATAGGCATGAACAATCCAGACCGGTATTTCTCAAAGTGAGTTGTGTGACCTGGGTGCTTGATGATATTGCAAACTCTAGGGTGGTTGTCCAGGAACTTGCACTAACAACCCTGATGCACATCGAAGTATGGGATCCACTACTCAACTAAGAGTTGGTTAAGCCCAAGTCTGGGGTCAGGAGTCCTATAGGTTTGTCAGGTTCATACTTTCAACCATAGAAATAGAAATGATCTGTGTTCCCTGCACCCTTCTCTTTTTGTCTGCTAAGAGGGAGACTGTGATTGGAGGGTAAACCTTGTAACTATATAGTACTGCGTATTTAAAAGGTGGCATAAAATATTTTCTAATATTTTCAAAGCTTAAGACATAAAAAAATCAATTTTTACTAAGGCTTTTCTGTTGTGCTTATTATAAATATCTTGTTCCTTGGGGCAGAGATAAAGATGCTGAAATACCCAGAAGATATGGACACTTGAAGAATCCATGAATAAGCACTGTCATATCTGCTTGGTAGGATAAAATTGAAGTTATTAAAGTATACAGATGAGACTGGCAGAATGCCCTGAAAGACAAGGATGATTTTCTTAGACCAGGAAAGAATTCCAGGTTCAGAGACGACTCCCTTGTTGAAAGACAAATGCAGGGACTCTTGGAGGACCCAGGTGGCTGATTCTAAGTGTACCATATATCTTCCCGCTCCATCTTTTTGACAAAGAGCTTTTGCTACTTCTGATGTGCAGCCCCCCTCTTCTTGCAGCCCTGACAATGAGCGCCCACCTCTCTGGGTCATTTATACTCCTCTGCCTTAAAAAACAAATGACCCACTGCTGAGGGGCAGCTCAGACCTGTCAGAAAACAACCATATAGTTGACCATCTAATTGTAGGTCTTTATGCTTAATGAGTATCTGAGTGTGGGAAGGTACATTTAATCAGAGCTGGAGCACAGACTTGTGCTTATGTGAAAAGCTTTGAATACCAGGCATGATTACTGTGCATGCATTAGTGACCAATGACATGAATAGAAATGTGAGTTAAATAAACTCTTCTAGTGCCCTAAATTATATTGTCCTTTCTGCTTTCTTAGTGATTTGATATGCATAGAGGAAAAGAAAGCCCCTATTTGTTATTGCATCATGAAAGAAGTCCCAGAGAGGCTTACCCCCCTGCAGTAGCCAGGAGGGATGGTTTTTTACCTTTGCACTTTCTGGATACTCTTCTGGGGTTCGGTGCAGCAACACATGTCCTTTGCTGGGGATATTTAGATATATACAGTTTGCAGCCACGTCATCAGGCACGGTGAGTTTGTCATAGCGGTGGTCACTCATCTGTTGCATGATCTGGAAAGAGAAACAAAGCAGGCCTAAGCAGAGGGTCTCCCACACTTGAAACAAGAGGAAGGCAGTGTGGTGGGAATCAAGCCTGCATCTGATGCCTTAGGCTATTCCTCTGTTCAAGTTCTTGTCTGTTACTCCAGTCACTAGGAACCAGAAGAGGAAAACCTGACTTAAGTCATGATTCTTTGGAACAACTGCAAGGGTTCCTTTGCTCTTTTAAAATATGTGTTGGTCTTTTTTTTTTTTTTTTTTGAAAGGTTTTAAAACTGTCTATTATTTTTCTAGTTTTTGCTCAAAAGACCTATCAATAAGACACAAAACAGCCACATATCCAAAAAGCCCAGCAGGGGTTTTGATGATGTTCTTGGCTGAGTAAGCTCTGCTGCCCTGGTTTATAGGAAAAAAGGACCATAGCAGTAATCAGAATGGTCAATAATAGGATTTAGCAATGAACACACACACAATTTGCTCATCCATGTACATTTAAATTGAATTCACCTGTCTGTTGGCAGCTGACATCCTTAATACAATGAGCATAAATCACCTGGGGAGAATATAAAATTATATTCCCAGGCCCTACCATCAGGGATTCTGTTTTGGCAGATTTGCGGTGAGGCCTAGGAATTTGCATTTTGAAAGTTCTCCCAGATAATCCTGAGGCAGAGAGTTCCCAGACCACAACTGGAGAAAACCTTGCTTAGCAGGTCTATTCTTCAAATGATGAGTTTATTAGTACTTTAGTAAAAAATAACTTTAAAAACAACACAAACCGAAACTCTGCATAAAACTTAAAATATTGATACCTCATCCTTACCCCCTCAACATAACCCACTCCCCTTAAGCAACAAAAATATCCGAACATCTAGGGCTGGCCATTTAGCTCAGTTGGTTAGAGTGCTGTGTTATAAATAACACCAAGGTCAAGGGTTCAGATCCCCTTACTGGCCAGCCGCCTAAATAAATAAACCCAAAAGCCAATATTATTTTGGGCTTAGTCTTAAAGACTCTTTCCATTCTTTATCAATATTCATATGTTTTAAGGAATCTGCTGAAATGTCATGCCATGAAAGGTAAATATAACACAATCTTTTCCGATCAATCCTAATCTAGCTTTCCAGGCAGGTTCCTTTTTACTCTTCAGTATTTGTGTGGAAATGTGCTTCTATTACTAGGCAGACTTGCCCACTCAGTCGTGATAGTTTTGGACAGTGAGATTTATGGTACAGAAGAGCACAAGAGCATGCTCTCTGTGAAGGTTAATTCTAGGTGTCAACTTGGTTAGATGAGTGAATGCTGAGAAACCTGGTAAAGCTATCTTTTTAGGTGTGTCTATGAGGGTGTTTCCCGCAAAGATGAGTATGAGAGTCTGAGTGGCCTGGGTGGGAAAGACCCAACCTCAATGTGGGTGGGAACCGTCCAGTCCGCTAGGGTTCCAGAGAGAACAAAAGACAGAGGAAAGAGGTGAAACTCTCTCTCTCAATCTGCTGGAGCTGGGATACACTCTTTTCTCCTATCTGTGGACATCAGAGCTTGAGACTCTTCAGCTTTGGGTTCCAGAACTTACATCAAGGACACCATCAGCGTCCGTGGTTTTGAGGTCTTTGGACTTGGACTGAGCCACGCTACCAGCATCCAGTTTATGGATGGCCTATCGTGGGAATTTTCTTCATAGTCACGTGAGCTAATTTCCCTAATAAATCCTTCTCATATAATTATAACATATCTTATTGATTCTGTCTCTCTGGAGAACCCTAATACACTCCCTGTAGAAAATTCATTCCCAAGAGACATGAAGATGAACAGGACACAGACCCAGTTTTCTAAGAGACTACTGTCTAACGGAGGAGACTGACAGAAAAATAGATAATTGTAATAAGAATAAGCAGGGTACCATGCTAAACATTTTCCATTAATTATCTAACCTCAAAATTCCCATTTTATAGATGAAGAAACTGGACTGAGAGATGTCAAATAACTTGCTCAAGGTCATAAAGGTATATTCAAACCCAGATCTGTGCAGCTCAAAACCTCCTTTCTTAATCATCTCACTTTGCTTTCTTTCTTGATAGTGACAGATCTCTCCCTCTTACAAACTACCATAAAATTTACTTTTTCACCCTCATTTGGTACTTATCACTTACTCTCTTGCAGTACCATTATTATTTTTTTTTTTTCTGGTGACTGGCAAGTACAGGGATTGAACCCTGGACCTTGGTGTTATCAGCACCACATGCTAACCAACTGAGCTATTTGGCCAGCCCATTAATTTGTTTTTCATATGTAACCCTATTAGGACGTGGTGCAGTCTGTTGTAGGTAAATGACTTGACTGGACATCTCCCTTGCATTTCTTAATTTTAATTCTTCCTTGAAGGGATAGGCCCACACAGTGGATCAGCAGTGGGATGGGTCCTTCTTTAGAGTTCTGATCAAGAACCTTAGATCTATTCCAACATGTGGGCAATTAAGAAGTTAAAGACACTCCTAAAGATGAACTTTTCTAAGCAATTTAACAACGTCTTCAACTTAGCCCACTTTATAAAATGGATACGCCCAGAAATACTATGAGGAAACTTAGGAGAAAAAATATCCAGACCCAAGTAGCTCCCTTCTATTATAAATTGCTATTTTATTACTTCTTATGCATACTTTCCTTTTGGTTGCTGACAAAACACAATAAATAGTAACTTTCACTTATTATTATATGGGAGGGAGCACACTGAGAACATAAACTCTGGAGTCAGACCTGGGTTTGCATATAAGCACTAACCTTTATTAGTCGTGTAAATTTAAGCTTTTTTTTTTTTTAACTTCTTGGTTTCCTCACTTATAAAATTGGGAAAATAAAACTCTTTTATAAACTTATTGTGCGAGTTAAATGAAGATAAAGTATATAATAAAGTTTAGTAATAAGGCCTTAATAAACTACTAGTATTTTATGACCACATGACCAGACAAACAATGTTCAAGTTTTCAGTTGGCAATTCCATCTACTATTCTGGCAAGCATTGACCTTTAACTTCATTCTAAAGGTAGCCCGTTCTGAAGGTCACTCCTTATTCTTACAACCGTGTAAGACTATACCCACCATATTCCTGTGGTGGTTTCTTCAGCCTCCTTCTTTCTAAGGCCTACATTATTTAATGCATAATTCAATGGTCTTGCAGGCTTAGCATCCCTTATGCCTAGATTCCCTATAGAGAATTGCTATAAAGTCCCCAGACTTTAAAAAAAATAAGGACTTCTTTGTTCATTTGTTTGTTTGGGGCAGGTAAGGGGATCTGAAAAATTCTAATATGAGGATTTTTGTGAAGTTTCTCTCTCTCTTCAACCAAATCCAAAAGCAAATATTGTTTGTTTTAATATCTGTTAGACTGTTAGCACCTTGAATGCAGGTCCAGGCATAATGGAATGGACACAGCATGGGTTTTAGAGTAAAAAGATCTGGGTTGGAAGCCCTGCTTGGCAACACACTATGTGATCTTGGCAAAGTCCCTTAAGCTCTCTCAGCCTCAATTTCCTTAGCTATAAAATGGGATGACAATGCCATATCTATTGCCCATTGGGTAATTCTGAAGATTATTTTGAAAATAAAAACAGAAAATGTACACAAAGTGCTTAGCAAAAAGTTCCTAGTACATACTGAATGTGTAATAAACGTGAGTTCCCTTCCTTCTTTGTTTCTAGAAAGTCACTTGGCATACAGCAGGGGATCAAAATATGTTTGTAACTGATTCATTTCTTCATTTCTTTCACCCTTTCAGAGGAGGATATAGAGATGCTCAGGAGTACACTGTGGTAAACTATGTGATCAGTCACGTATGTAAATAATCGCATTCCTTCAGAAAAATAATATATGGCTTATGTCCAGAAATAGAAATACGATTCATTACTTAGTATGGAACCTGGCTAAAATCAATGAGGCCAAGGTCTGTCTTTTTCTTAAAGCTACACAGAAGGGTACTATACTCTGTGGTCCTAACCCAAATGACTTTGGATGACAAAGAAAGACAATAGGAGTAGTGGACTAGGGTGAACTAGAGAGTGTGTAGCACCTAGAGGCATTAAAAAAAAGAAAGAGAAAAATACTTTGAGCATTTCAAACTAAACACATAAGCCTTTGTCAATTTGTGACCCTGACTTGGTAAAACAGTCCAGAAACCCAGTGGGCAGACCGACTTCTTCATGGGTGTAAGTGGGGCTGTCTCTGCA